GCACCCCTGTTTGACAGTCTCTTAGCTGGTAATAAGTGTCTTTTGGGGGGAAAAGATAAGTTAGCTGAGATGGGCTGGAGCTATCATTGTTGTTGTTATTGTTAAAGTCCTGTCCTATTTCCTAGAAGACAAAACAAAACAAAAATACATAGAAAGGTAAAGAAAAGATAGTAAAGATGGAAAATATTGCTTCTGTCTCTGATGTCGACACTTACTACATTTTTACTGCTGGAAAAACGTAGGCACAGCAAATGGTCTTATCAGCCACTCAGAGACTGGCAAATTTGTACCAACATTGGGCTGTTCTAGGGCATTACTTTTAGTTGTCTCTCTTACAGCAGTGTTGCAAAATATGCAGTGTTGCCTGGCTAAGTCAGACTTTTATTGAACAGAAGTCAAAAGAGAGGTATAGTAAAGAGAAGAAGTATGGTGGGACAGGAAAACACATGTGGGAGAGAAGTGTGACAAAGTCTCACATTCTAGGTGGTCTTTGAGATTTTGCTGGAGCAAGTGAAGAGGGCGATATCATATAGGTCCCTTTCTCTCTGGCCCAGTCTGGTCGGGATATATCTTTGGCTAAACAACCAGTGGGGCCTCTGGACGATCGAGATACAAAAGGATCACTTAAAGATGATAAAGTCATTGCGGAGAAACTAAATGAATTCTTTGCTTCAGTCTTCACAGATGAGGATCTTAGGGAGATTCCCAAACCTGAGCTGTCCTTTGTAGGTGACAAATCTGAGGAATTGTCACAGATTGAAGTGTCACTAGAGGAGGTTTTGGAATTAATTGATAAACTTAACAGTAACAAATCACCGGGACCAGATGGCATTTACCCAAGAGTTCTGAAAGAACTCAAATGTGAAATTGCGAAACTATTAACTATGGTTTGTAACCTGTCCTTTAAACCAGCTTCTGTACCCAATGACTGGAAGATAGCTAATGTAACGCCAATATTTAAAAAGGGCTGTAGAGGTGATCCCGGCAATTACAGACTGGTAAGTCTAACGTCAGTACCGGGCAAATTAGTTGAAACAATAGTAAAGAATAAAATTGTCAGACACATAGAAGAACATAAATTGTTGGGCAAAAGTCAACATGGTTTCTATAAAGGGAAATCATGTCTTACTAATCCATTAGAGTTCTTTGAAGAGGTCAACAAACATGTGAACAAGGAGGATCCAGGGGACATAAAGTACTTAGATTTCCAGAAAGCCTTTGACAAGGTCCCTCACCGAAGGCTCTTACGTAAATTAAATTGTCATGGGATAAGGGGAAAGATCCTTTCATGGATTGAGAACTGGTTAAAAGACAGGGAACAAAGGGTAGGAATAAATGGTCAATTCTCAGAATGGAGAGAGGTAAATAGTGGTTTCCCCCAAGGGTCTCTTCTGGGACCAGTCCTATTCATCATATTCATAAATGATCTGGAGAAAGGGGTAAACAGTGAGGTGGCAAAGTTTGCAGATGGTACTAAACTGCTCAAGATAGTTAAGACCAAAGCAGACTGTGAAGAACTTCAAAAAGAAATCACAAAACTAAATGATTGGGCAACAAAATGGCAAATGAAATTTAATGTGGATAAATGTAAAGTAAAGCACATTGGAAAAAATAACCCCAACTATACATACAATATGATGGGGGCTAATTTAGATACAACTAATCAGGAAAGAGATCTTGGAGTCATCGTGGATAGTTCTCTGAAGACGTCCACGCAGTGTGCAGTGGCAGTCAAAAAAGCAAACAGGATATTAGGAATCATTAAAAAGGGGATAGAGAATAAGACGGATAATATCTTATTGCCCTTATATAAATCCATGGTACGCCCACATCTTGAATACTGCGTACAGATGTGGTCTCCTCATCTCAAAAAAGATATACTGGCATTAGAAAAGGTTCAGAGAAGGAAAACTAAAATGATTAGGGGTTTGGAATGGGTCCCATATGAGGAGAAATTAAAGAGGCTAGGACTTTTCAGCTTGGAAAAGAGGAGACTAAGGGGGGATATAATAGAGGTATATAAAATCATGAGTGGTGTGGAGAAAGTGAATAAGGAAAAGTTATTTACTTGTTCCCATAATATAAGAACTAGGGGCCACCAAATGAAATTAATGGGCAGCAGGTTTAAAACCAATAAAAGGAAAGTTCTTCTTCACACAGCGCACAGTCATATATATTAAAATTTGCGGGGAGGGATAGCTCAGTGGTTTGAGCATTGGCCTACTAAACCCAGGGTGGTGAGTTCAATCCTTGAGGGAGCCATTTAGGGATTTGGGGCAAAAATCTGTCTAGGGATTGGTCCTGCTTTGAGCAGGGGGTTGGACTAGATGACCTCCTGAGGTCCCTTCCAACCCTAATATTCTGTGATTCTAACCTGTGGAACTCCTTTGCCTGAGGAGGTTGTGAAGGCTAGGACTATAACAGGGTTTAAAAGAGAACTAGCTAAATTCATGGCGGTTAAGTCCATTAATGGCTATTAGCCAGGATGGGTAAGGAATGGTGTCCCTAGCCTCTGTTCGTCAGAGGGTGGAGATGGATGGCAGGAGAGAGATCACTTGATCATTACCTGTTAGGTTCACTCCCCCGGGACACCTGGCATTGGTCACTGTTGGTAGACAGGATACTGGGCTGGATGGACCTTTGGTCTGACCCAATATAGCCATTCTTATGTTCTTATTCAGTGCAGAGATGGCATGTGGTAAATAAGGCTTGGACCTTACATTGAATGAGAAGGATACAAAGAACTACAGAAACTCCCCACTTAACTTCCTCTCGCTTAACGTTGTTTCGATTTTACGTCCCTGCTCAATTACAGAACATGCTCCATTTAAAGGTGTGCAATGCTTCACTATAACGTTGTTTGGCTGCCTGCTTTATCCACAGCTGGCAGCCCCCCTATCAGCTCCCCTACGCCCTCCCCACAGCTACTCCCGCCCGCCGGCAGACCCCGCGGATCAGCGCCTTCCCCTCCTCCCCCTGCCTCCTGCCTGCGGCAATCAGCTGGCTTGCGGCATTCAGGAGGGAGGGGGGAGGAGCGAGGATTCGGCGTGCCTCCCCCCTCCCTCCCCTGCCTCCTGCCTGTGGCAATCAGCTGGCTTGCTGTGTTCAGGAGTCAGGAGAGGGAGGGGGAGCCTGCACGCCATGTCCTCGCTCCTCCTCCCTCCTTCCTGCCTCCCGAATGCCGCAAGCCAGCTGATTGCCCCGGGCAGGAGCGAGGACGTGGCGTGCGGAGTAAAGGGGGAGGGGGGAAGAAGAGGCAGGTTAAGGGTGGGGGCTCGCGGGAAGGGGTGGAATGGGTGGGCTGAGGCTTGAGCCCCCTGCCTCTGGTGTTTGCAGAGTAGGGGAAGCTGCCGCTGCTGCTGAGCAACATGCTTCTCCTAGCCTATAGCACCTTCAGCCTCCTTGCCTGCCTCATTGTCTCCAGTGCCAGTGGGCTGTGCCTGTGTGGGGTAAGGTAGGGGCACCTCCCAACTATAGTACTGTACTGTATGGCAAAAAAAAAATTCCCTGGAACCTAACCCCCCCATTTACATTCATTCTTATGGGGAAATTGGATTCGCTTAACATCGTTTCACTTAAAGTCGCATTTTTCAGGAACATAACTACAACGTTAAGTGAGGAATTACTGTATTGAATAGCTACGCATTCAGTGGGCACTGTCCATTATGGGCACTGAATGAGGCAGAGGTCCTATGGAAAAAATAGTATTTGATCATGTGATTAAAGACTTAATTATAATGCATTGGTACAATTCACTACAAATATATGGGCTGAATTAAGGTTGCACAGGGAAATTTAATTCAGACATTTCCTAACTTTTGCATCTGTGTGCTTGATTTTTCAATTGTAACATTCTTTTAACATAGTAGTGTGTGTGTGTGTGTGTGTGTGTGTGTGTGTGTGTGTGTGATATTGTAATATACTAAAGAGGCAAAGCAGTGATAGGAAGTTATTGAGTCTGTGCTGTATGTTTTGTCTCTGATGTAGTAAATTATGAAATATTTTCAGGATATGTTCTACTCTTATGTGTCACTGACTCTTTTCACAGACCACTCTCCTAGTTTCCTTTGTGTGGATGTTCATTGAACCTTTTCACAGTAGTAATTCACAATGGCATCATAGAAAGCAGGAAACTGTTGGCTACTGCTTGAATTTTTGGCACAGGTTATAGTAAACTTCTATGACTTTCTGTACTTCACACCATGGGACCCTATGTGTATATGTGGCCCTTGCTGTGTGAGATGGGAGCGTAATTAGGTGTTGGTAGAGCACTGGATAGCATGCTCAAAGCTAAGCATGTACTTCAGCTGAAATGTTTTCTTAAAGACATTTGACCTTACTAGAATTGTTCAATAGCTATTGTGGGCAATAAATAGCTGTCAGCCTTTTTCAAGTCTTAGTAAGGTTTATTCAAACAAAACTGACTTGTTTAATTTTCATAGCTGTACTGCACACCGATGCTTGTGAAATAGAAATGTAATTTAGCAAGTGAAATCAAGGTTTATCTTCTAAGTTAATCTACTGGTTCAGGAAACTAGATTTTAAATAATTGGTTAAGAGTTTAAATTCACTTTGAATTACAATCGGTGAGAATTTAACTATACATGTAGACCCTGAATATTTTTCTCCATCAGAAATATAAAAGCATAAAATATTAATATATTAACTTATCATTAAAACACCACCTTTTTCCATTTTGTAGGTTAATATATTTCTAAAAATATTCTAATATGCTAAACTATTCTGTCTAAAGATTAGGAATCAATCACAGTACATCACTCTACTCATTTCAACAGAATTTTAGATATTAATGTTACATTACCTCATTTTTTAGTTTTAGTGGAGGTTAAAGAATACAGTTCACTACAAATATATGGACAAGTAAATCTAGTTTAATACAAAATTAAACTATTTTTGCCCATTGGATGTAGATTATAGAACTGCAGATAGAAACTGTTTTCCAGTACATTGCACTCAGTTGTGCAAACTTATTTTTTTAGGGTCAAAGAAGAACAAAAACCACAACCGACACAGTAAGTAAAATATCTTAAAAGTGCAGTAGGCTTGACTTTTCTACCTTTGCCATGTTCTGCTTTCTGCACCTTTGATGGTATTAGCTTTCACTAATACCTGATAGGCTGCAGCTAGTTTGTCATCTGCTTCCTGATTGGCTTGTAAGAGAGCTGCCTGCAGCTTCTTACTTCATCCACATGTTAGCTGGATGTAGTTTCTTGCTGACTGCTTGTGGCCTGGTTAAGTGTAAAACTTTATTTCCCTTACATCCTTAGTGGCTGACTTATTATTGCAGCTAACATTCCCATTGGCTGTAGCTTTTCCACCTGTATATTTCTATTATTATTGGGTAAGAAAACATTTAAACTAGTATGATTTATTTGGTTATTCAGTCACATTATTTGCTTATTTAAACAGGTGGTTTCCCTTTAGTGGGATCACTGAGCTGGTAAATAACGTTCTTCAGCCACAGCAAAAACAACAAAATGAAAAGGAGCCCCAGACGTAAGTAAGCTGCTCTCTGTAGACTGATTAATGTCTCTATAGCATTAAAACATACTGGAGAGTATGTGTAAAATACTTTCCCATTCATAACATCCTTATAAGAGCATTTTACAAGCTGACACTGCCTTTGCTTTCGGAGTTTTGATTGGCAAAGAGAAATATGCAAATTAAGTGAGGGCCCACTTTTACCAGACAGTTGAGTTGATTAGATCAGAAAAAAAAATCTTAGGAACTCTCACTGCTCCATTTAATGCCTTTCCCTGCAAGTACTCTTTTTGAAAAACTTTCAGTGAAGTTAACATGAGTTCTATGCATGGGAAGCTTGAATTATCAGACATGTAGTATTATATGTAGCATGTCTATGTAGATACACAGTATTTATGATATGGGTCGTACACAGAGTGCTATAAAATATACATAATACATTTGAAGAGCTGGGAATTTTCCATTTCATTTTTTTCATGACTTTGAAATATCTGTAAAGTTTCTGAGCTTTGACAGATATGAGGTGAAATCCTGGTCCTATTGTAGTCCATGGGAATCTTGCCGTTGACATCACTGCGGCCAGGATTTCACTGATGGTCTTTTTACAGTGCCATGCCACGATGGATTTCCTTTAAGGAGAACCATATGAGAAATTAACAGTTCTTGCCATTTGAAAATGTTAAGGTTGAACAGAACCTGGCAAAGCTAGGAGATTCAGACTTACGGTTGAACTTAAATCATGCAGCTGAAAATAAAAAGAGAAGAAAGTTAAGAATAACTTTAATTTCAAATTTCCTAGATAAGTGTTACAGCCTTAATGTTAACCAAGTATCGCTTTTTAATTTATGAAGTTTTATTTTATTTATTTACTTATTTTATGGGAAAAAGTCTTGCTGGTTTATATAATGAATTTTTAAAATCTTTTTGGGCACATGCTTAGGTGGTTTTAAAATATGCATTTTTATTATTTCTTTTTATATATTTTTCAAAGACATGTCCGGTCGCTTTGTTAAATATATATTTAACTGAGTTTCTTTTAGTTATTATAGGCAATGGCAGTTTTAGTTTATTGTGAAAATATATACACCTCTACCCCAATATAACGCGACCCGATATAACACGAATTTGGATATAAAGCAGCGCTCCAGGGGGGCGGGGCTGCGCGCTCCGGCGGATCAAAGCAAATTCGATATAACGCAGTTTCACCTATAACGCTGTAAGATTTTTTGGCTCCCGAGGACAGCGTTATATCGGGGTAGAGGTGTATTGAGAAACATAAGAATCTTCAAAAAATTGCACAGGAGAACAATTTGTGGGAGTGGGTATACTAAGCCCTGAATTTTGCAATCCTTGCAAATGTTCTTTAGAAAGGGCTGCATGATTTGGCTCATACATATATATATATATATACACACACACATAGAGAGAGAGAGAGAGACACACACACAAAAAATTACAGTATAGATTTAATCAAATTTATCTTTTAGCCTGTAAGTGTATAAAAAAACTACTTGAATGCAAAATTTCATGTGAAACTTTTAAACCTTTCAGCTGGAATTTTTTTTAAAGGAAAGCAATAACCTCCTGAAAAGAGTTAATAATGGAAATGTTGACAACCTAACCTACAGCAGCAGAAATGTTTAACTATAGTTATATATTTGTTTTACTTATATTTTTCCATACACACACATTATTTCAGTTTTATTCATACTTTTTTATGATACCTGAAGTATCTAATTTCACTCAATTATATTGTAGGCTGTATTACTTTCCAGTGATCTACTATGAGGAATATTCACTTTTAACATTATAATAGCTGTCTAATAATTAGCATGGTTTATTATGTGGCAATTGGAATCAGAAAAGGAAGGGGAAAAATAGAAGAGTAGTCATCATCATCCAGCTATGATTTCATCCTTTAAAAAATTTCTACAGGATAGTGTATAATTTGTAATCCAAAAATCATAGATTTCTGGTAAAATATAGAAGATGCATTTTCTTTTCTTCATGGAATATAACTGTGTTAGTTACTGCTTACGTTCAGCTCACTATGCTATGAGATTACTTAAAACACCAAGATATTTGTCATAGTGAACATTGAGCCAAATTCTGCTCTGGTGTATGTGCAATTCCCACTGAAGTCATGACAGCAGGGCTCCTAGAACTGGGGATAGAGCTGGTCAAAAGGTGGGAAAACAATTTCCGCAAAAATTTTGAAATTTCAAAGTTGTTTCTTGCAGGGTTCAAAATTTTTTCCTTTTAAAATTGCTTTTTGGCCAAAATATATTTTGAAAAATTTCAAAAATTTTATTTTTTTCTCCTTTCTCCTCTATTTTTCTTTTTTTGTCAATGAGTACAATAAAATGATGTCCAGGTTGTGTGTGTGTTTTCTCCACTCTGCAACTTTTCAAAGGTGAGGAAATTTTGAAAAGTTACAAAATGGCTAATGGAGGAGGAGAAGAATGAAAAAGTGTGTGTGAAAACAAAACATCATTCATTCTGTTGTATTCAGTAATGAAAAGGAAGGAGGATAAATGTGTGAAAAACAAATGCAAAATTTTGCAATTTTCAATTTCAATGAAAAAGTACAAACTTTTAAAAACAAACATGCATAACTTTTCATGAAAGTTTTATGTTTTGGAAAAAAGGCCATTTTTCAGCAAAAAAAGTTTTAGTGAAAAACTTTAACCACCTTTAATTGAGAGTAAAATTTGGTGACAATCTGTGAACAAAGTGGTAAAATATTTAATATTAATTTTTTTCATTATTTAAAAAATGTTCTTTTGATATTGACAGGTATCTTCAGACAAAAATAAGCTTACAAAATCTAATAGAGAATAAACTTCTATAAAATTCAGTTACTGGAAGAAAACTAATTTATGTGGTTTCTTCAGACATTCAGTTACAAGTATTTAGAAGTCATCGAAGGGTCTGATCCTTCAACCTTTATTCATCTGAGGTTAATGGGACTACTTGGATGAATTAGGGTTACCAGTTTGATTGTAATGCTTTTTCACTATTAACAGGCAATATGAAAAAAAATTCACACAAAAAGTCTAGTGTGATATTTTTCAAGACATAAAATACTGTGTACTGTATTATTTCAGATACATCACCTCAGTACCTATAATGTCTAAAACCTGTATATAAAGATACTACAATTGATCTGTTGTCTTTGGCAAATAGGGGTATATGCAGATGAGAAGAGGGAAAGTAAGGTGGCTAGATTTGTTTCTAAAGTTCCCAAGATGAAATCATTGGGGGAAGGGAGGAAGGTGTGGCGGGGTGCTGAAGGAATTGAGGATGGGAATTTTGTTATTGATTTCAGTAGGGTCAGAATTCCACCTGCATGTCTACTGTAAACATACAGAGGGGACTCCGTGTGTTTGAGAAATGCACACTAGGTGAAGAAGACAGTAAGGCACTCCCTATTGGTCCATAACCATAATGTTAGGTGTCTATTACAAGCAACAATAAAAACAAGAAATCTACACACTTGTAAAATACTCTTTAACTGACCATTAATTTAGCAGTGCTATACATTCACATCTCTAGTATACAGATTTGAAGAGCTGCTGCATACTGTTCTTCTACAGCATATGGGAAATAACATACAAGAACTTCTAGATAGACCAGTACATGAACATGATATTTTGTTATGCTGCTGTATATGAACTAGAAGTACCGTGGCCTACAAACAAACTTTCTAATTTGAATAAGAATTAGCGGATAAACTTGGAGAAGGACAATCCAGTTGAAATTTTACTTTTCTCATTTGTTATTGGTAACATAAGTAAGTTAAAGTGTTTGTTTTTTGTTTTTAAACTGATTTTTGAGTTGACAGAGGTTTCTTGGGGCAATATGTCTGCTCTGTGAGGGCTGGCTCAAGAAAAAACTCAGACCCCCCCTTCAAAACAATTGACTTGGGCCATCCAGTATGCTATCTTCTCCCTAAGACATGTCTGAAAGTGCACTGTCATGCCAGCAGGGAGAGGCGGAGGAGAAGAAATAGGTGATGTGTTCAGAATTGGTACATTTGTGAAAAAGTTAATGTAATCCTGTATAGAAATGTCTTGTTAAACAGGAGGAGACAGAAACCTGCAGTTAGGACTTTGATAAAAGGGGAGACATCCTGATTCCTGAGGGGACTCTAATTATTAACACTACAGAATTCTCATCATGAAGCAGCTTTCATTCCACTTTCAGTTCTGAAGCCTAAGTAGTAATGCTAGCATTTCAATTCATTTTGGTTCTGCCACTGGTATAATTTTATCTGGGTTCCCTAACTTTTTTCTGCTTATTTATGCTCTGTAGATGGCTGTTGCAGCTGGGGATTGCTGGGGGAGACTGGGAAATAGCATGGAGCTGGCTACACTCACTCAGTCTGTCTAGAGTTTTATACTAATGCTTGCCACTATAGTATCCAAGCATCTTCCACATAAAATCAATAGCAGTAATGGAGTCTGTAGTGGGCTACATGTCTCTTGCTCTCTTCCCTTTTAAGGGTAAAAAAACAGCGTGTGGTACTATTTTGGGGGGGAATATATAGTGGTGTTAATCCTGTGAATGTCGTTCTTGTTATGTTGGAAAGGCTTTTTCTAAGAGGAAGGTTTCATAGCAGTTTCCAAACATAGACTATGAATTTGCCTGCTTTTCCCTCAGAGTTTATTGCATAGCCTCTTGACTTAGAATGTTTTGTCCCCCAGCTCTCACATGCTTCATCTTCATCTTCATCACTGTCCCGGATGTTTGTATGTCAGCCAGGGATTCCTCACACTGAAGACATTTTCAGCTGCCCAGCTTATGCAACTTTATGGCCCCTTTTCACCATCAGCCTCTGGCCCATCATTTTTGATTAATGCAAATAGGTTTAGTATATTTTCTGTAAAAAGTAGATTCATATTATTTGACTTCACTGGGAGTTGCAGGTGCTCAGTATGCCTCAGGATTTGGGCCTGAGTTTATAATATTTTGTCTTGTAAGCAAGTTGAAAAGTTGTGCAATTGTATTCCATA